ACCACTCTGTGGAAGATGAGCTAGAATTAATTTTATTAATTATTTTAATTTATTAATTAATTAATTATGCAACAACAGGAAGAACTATTACAGATCCCACCTGGGAATAGATGCTGCTTGAATCTCTGTAAAGAGAGCCCTTCATCAGCAGATTAACAGCATTGCAGTAACAACTGTGCGATACTAGAAAACTGAATTTCCTAAACTTGGGTATCCACTTCTGTCCAAACAGTAGACATTGTAAATCGGGGACCAGGACTACTCAAAGTGGTTTGATAGTATCTCAATATCAGATCACTTAATGCAATGACACAACTCAGTTATTAATGCAGAACATCTGGAAGAATAGGAGCAGAAAGTGGAGCTAACTCAGAATGAAGTACAAAGATGGCATCACATTTATAGATTGCAAGCACAAGTCAAAAACTAAGTAGTTATTTAGCTTTTAGTTTCATGAAAAGAAAGATGATATACAAATAAACCAAGGTAACACGACTGCTCTGCTCAATCTTCCCATTCCATTTGGAAACAATTTGCACCTTACATACAGTAATCAAATTAACAAATTACTGTATGACTAATTACTTCATAAGAAACTTGCTGCTGCATAGAAAGGCATTCACAGTCATCAAGGTTTATTATCATATTTGATGACATTTCAACCCCTCGAAAGGTAGTCGGTTATAAAGTACATCATTTAATTATTGTGTGTATAATCAGCATTTTTACTGCTCACTTGCATTCTGTATGGAACAATATTTACCAACGTACAAAAGCAGAAATAGACAATCAAACCTGCCCTATACTCATGATGACTGATGCATTCTAACTGGACACTTGACATTCCTATCGCCATCACGAAAGTGACCCCTCCTGCACCCAGAGGATCTTATTCCAGGCAGGTCATCTCTTCAGAGAAGTAACACTCAGAAAAAACAGGGTCAATAAGGGAGAAAATCTGAAGATCTCCTCCCCCCATCACTCCTGCATTCCCTTCCGAGGAAACCGCTGCAGATCCTGTGGATTACTTAATTGCCAACACAAGGCTGGAAAACCACAAATTCATGGCAGTGACTTTGGTTTATTGCGGACCCACAAGCATCCAAAAAGTGGCATTTATTTCCTCTTTTAGTGATGTTTCTTTGGAAATTGTCTGACAGTAGATTATCCAATGTATTACCATTTTATCAATGACATTCTAGACATGTTCAGTTGGAAGAGCACCTTGTGTAGTGGTCCACCTTCTGATATTTCAGGGAGGTACCTCAGCTCATCTCAAAGTTTCTTCCATGTCCTGTCTGAACTAAGGGCTTGACCATGGAAAGATTTACAAATATGAGAGAATTTCTGATACACCATAAACAGACACTGCCATCACACAGGTGGTGCATTCAACAAATTTCTGAATTTTGCATAGCCCATCAAAATCAGATCAATGGAATCTGGTGAATGCTAATTGTGGTATTGTGTTAATTGTGCTCAGATGGCACAGTGGCTCAGTGGTTAACACTGCCGCGTCACAACGCCAGGGACCGAGGTTCAATATCACCCTCAGGCGACTGTCTGTGTGGAGTCTGTGCATTCTCCCTGTGTCTGCGTGGGTTTCCTCCGGGTGCCCTGGTTTCCTCCCATTGTCCAAAGATGTGGAGGTGGGTTGGCCATGCTAAATTGCCCGTAGTGTCCAGGTATGTGCAGCCTAGCTGGATTAGCCATGGGAAAAGCAGGGTTAGAGAGATGGGGTGGGTCTGGGTGGGATGCTCTTTGGAGGGTTGGTATGGATTCAATGGGCCAAATGGCCTGCTTCCACAATGTAGTGATTCTAAATTATATTTCTTTTATAGGGCAGGGAGGTGAATCGGGAAATGAAGATAATGTAGGCATTTAAGTAATCTTTACATATGAAGAGTTCCACTATAACACTACTGATTGAATATATGAGTCTGTGAAAGCAAGTCTAAGAGACTGAAAACAATTGCAAAGTCCATAATTCATCCAGCTTCACTGGAGTGGCCATTGTGCAACAAAGGCTCAGCCAGTAAAGGAAATTACTAAGAAGTTATCAACAAGACTGAAAACAAAACTTAATTTAATAACATTAATGAACTCAAAAGCTTGTATTCTACTTGGATTCTACACATCAATGTGTTTTTCTGCTGAGCTTCCTCCATACCTAATAAACTTTTATGTTACAAAATCTATAACACATGCACCCTTCTGATCATTACAGTCTATGTAAATATCATTCTGAAGCAATATGTTCTGAAAATAATTGGGTTAGTTCAGTTAACAAAATAGGAATTAAAGTCAGTAAGTAACAGCAGTGTCTATGATTAACTATTTATTGAGCCTAAGATGCCGAAAGCTTTCTCACGGTGATTATGACCAGGCTGAACAATACAGATACTCCAAGGACTGCAGCAATTACAATGGCGGATATTGCCCCAGGTCCCAGTGAACCTGCAAAACAAGACAAAAGATCACTTTGGCATAGAAGAAGCAACTTTCCTTTCAATAGTACCTGTCACACTGTCAGGACACCCCAAAGTGCTTTACAGACAATGAACAACATTGGAAACTTTGTCAATGTTGTAATGTCAGAAAGGCAGCAGCCAATTTATGTACAGCAAACTCTAGCAAATAGCCATGTCATTATGTTCATATGATTTCAAATATTGACTGATTGATATTGATTTAAATCCGAGGGCAGACAGGCATTAGTTTAATACTACATCTAAAAAACAGCACCTCATATAACGAAGCACTCTTTCAAAAAAAACTAAGAACTGTGGATGCTGTAAATCAGGAACAAAAACAAAGTTGCTGGAAAAGCTCAGCAGGTCTGGCAGCATCTGTGAAGGAAAAAACAGTGTCAATGTTTCGGGTCCGGTGACCCTTCCTCAGAACTGATCAGTTCTTCAGTTCCAAAAGTAATCTTCTCACTTGGAGTGCAATTCAAAGAGCCTGATCTGATACATGAAACTATAATCTTGATAAAGCTATTGGACTTTGAGGACTATTGCATTTATTCTTTGTTTAGCCTTGGTACTTCAATACGAATTACTTTCTCTGATTAACTTTGACTTAAAAGCTGTTTCTTTCTATCTTTGTATATCCCACTTTGTTAATACTTTTCTGGGATCAAATAATGAGATGGAGGTGCCAGTGTTATACTAGAGTGGACAAGGTCAGAAATCACATGACACCAGGTTATAGTCCAACAGGTTTATTTGAAAACACAAGCTGTCGGAGCCTCGCTCCTTCTTTAGGTGATGGGAGGTAAGATTTGAGCAAGCCCAGTTAGAGAAGTTATTTTCATTCCTTCAGTACTCCTGAAAGGAATTTGTCCTGAGGAAAACATTAAATTCCTTCCTGATTCCAGCTGATAAAATGCCTTAAGTAATCTCAGCAAAGGCAGTTTCAAGAAGTACTATCTTAATTGGAAACTGCGTAGCCAAACTTTGTCCTCCTAAAGCAAATAGAGCAATAGAAATGTACATTATTTTGACAATTATATTACTCACAGGGAACATTTGCATCATTTTTTACTGTTGCAATCTTGCATATTTGTAATTAGATAATAACAGCTTTGCGAACCATATTTTACTGAACCTAACTTTCCCATACTTGACTGTTCACTGTCATCACCAAATCAAGCGATTTGAAAGTTATTGTTGTATTTTTATTACTTATGTAGAAAGATCAATAATGTTTTCTCCAGCATGTCAGTCTCTAATCCATATCATTTTTTCTGCTTTCAATACTAAGACTACATTCAAAATTCATTCAGTTTCCAGGGGTGCCTTACTTAGTACTCCAAAAATATTGGGCCATGATTTACTGCAGGATAGATAACAGTGGCTGTCATGAGTTTGATTTCTATTGTCTGTAAGTTTTTAAATATTTTGTGTGATACGTTGCTGACAGTAAGAACTGGTGACACTGCAGCCTGAGAAACGGGGCAACAACTGTGCATATCTCTAACCAAGCTGATTTTGTGGTTGTGAAATTAACAGCACAAAGACTGAGAGGGAAGTTTATATTGGAATGAATGAATTCCAAATAGGATGGAAGAATTATGGAGAGAATTATGACGAAATAACTCTCCACCATGTGTTTAAGTTTTCAGAACCTATGTAAAAATGGTTTAGGAAAATTTTAGCACAGTTTCTATCAGGTAAACAGGAAGCACAAAACTGTTTCCAATTGAACAGTAAATTGGCAATACATTGATGTCTACATTAAAGTCAAAAACATCACGTGAATACTGTAATAACAAGGTGTAGAGCTGGATGAACACAGCAGGCCAAGCAGCATCAGAGGAGCAGGAAGGCTGACGTTTCGGGCCTAGACCCAATACTGTAAGGAGTTTTTTTCTGAGGTTGAAATCGAGCCATATTATTGAATAAATCAAGCAGATCTTTCTTCAATATCTAGTCATTCTAAACCCAAGCTGAGTGCTTAGTTTTGGTACTGAATGATCAAAACAGGAACTGACATTGATCTTTTCTACATGCTAAATTCAAAATCCACGAACATACTGTTAATACATTGCAAAAGATCATTGAATTAGAAGTAACTAAATTCAAATAATAAAGGTTGTAGAAATTTAGACATGCTCCTCAGCAAATAATGAGGACTTAGGTTACTCCAATTTTAACCAGCACATAATTTTATATTTGAATCCTTTCAACACACCTCTCAAGATAGCAATAAAAATATTGTGCAAATCAAAATATGGGAATGAATGCTTGTGGTTTTAGGACAGGATGAAATGGCAGATGGGGAGAACAGGGTGGCGTGTGTGCAAGACCACAAAGGAATTTAAACATAAAGATCAGAGTTTTAACATTGTGGCATTAGGTGGCTGTGTACTAAATGGCCAAGAAGACATTGATGTGAAAGGATGTAGGCAGTAGAATTTTGAATGAAGGTTGCCCTACGGCATCAAATGGTGACCATTCAGGTAAGTATTGCACTAGTCTACCATGGAGCTAGCAAGCATTTGGTTGAGAGTTTCAGTGACAGGTGCTCCAAAACAAAGGTGGAGAGGACAAGGCAATGGAAAAGTAGTTAGTTTTTCGGATGGAGATGATTTTGGCTGAGAAGCTTAACTTGGGGTCAACTAGCATTCCATGGCTTTGAACAGAATGTTTCAACCAGATGTGGTGGTCTGGAAGACAGAAGGAATTGTTGGCCTGTTGACAATGTTTATTCAAAGGGCTGAAGAGATAGCTTCAGTTTATATGTGCCAGCACATGTGCACATGAGAGAGAGGTACTCAACAAGCAAACTCTGTGCCAAACTATCAGCACCACAGAATGTATCAGAATCTTTTTTTATAAACAGTTACTTACTGAATCTATCCCTGGATTCACATTCGAGACAAGTATCAAAACAATCGTCTTCAGTTCCATAATTTAACAAGTCAATTCGTAGATGTGCTTTTACGTGCTGCTATCTGGCAATTTTTTTAGCTGCCGGTCTAGATAAGATTTGAAACTTGGAAATGAGGTTCCATTGATACAAACTCATGCCCAACCACAGCAACATGACAATTGGTGCAATGATGCACTCCATACTGATGTGGGTTCTGAAACAAAGTGTATTTCATTATGACAAGCACAGTTTACATTACTAGCTGCTTACAAAGTGGTTTCTTCTACATTGGGAAGACGAAACACAATCTGGGTAATTATCTTGGACGTCTTCACTCAGTCCATAAACACCCCTACAATTTGCTGCTTGTTTGTCATTGTCATTCTGCATCATGGTCTCACACTCATTGTTTAATCTTCAGTGAAGCTTGCTGCAAGTCAAATTCTGCATTCAGGCACTTTATAGCCTTTTGGATCAATACTGAGTTCAACAACTTCAAACCATGAACACTGACCATTATATTTCTTTGCCCAATGCTGGTATGTTTCTTGGTTTCATGCTTTTGGTTTCAGACAGATTTGCTCTTAATTCTACTTTTGACACTTACTCTAGACCAGTGCTTGTTCCTGTACAACAACACTTACCTTTGCTTTTTCTTTTCTATGACATCTTTGCCATTTAATCATTCGCATCTTCCAACCTATCCTTGCCCTTCCCTTTTGTTCTACTTGATCATCCCTCATTTTCGAACAGCGTAAAATATTTCTAAAATATTTGTACCTCTCTTCAGTTCCAAAGGAGTCATATTGGATTCTAAATGTTAACTTTATATCTCTCTCCTTGGATGCAGATCTTTACAAGTGATTTCTGTTTTTATTTCATAATGCAGATGGTGGAAATATCTTACTTTCATTTGTTTATATTGAACATAATCATTGCAAAAAGGAGACACACAGTCAAAATGGTGCATCCTGCCCTCATCAGGACTAGGATGCAAGAAACCAATATTGGAAAAGGAACACTAATTTAAACTACGCGAGAAAAGAGTCCTGATTGGTTGGACCAACACAAACACAGAAATACAATAAAAACACTTAGCTGTTTGCAAATAAGGCAGGTAGACTCTGATTGGTGAAGGCGTTGCAGTGGGGCATAGCTCAGAGACCCTTTTTCCAATGAAAAAGATGTAATGTTCATACAAATTAATTTTGCTTACAACAAACGGAATCCTATTATGCGTAATGTGTAAAGTCTGTGTAAATACATCAGTCTGCAAGCTTGATTGATAAACTTAAACTGGTTTCCTGTGTTATTTATAGCACAGATCACTTAGTAAACACTGCACAGTGACAGAATCACACGTAATATTGCACATGATGTTCTGAGGCTTGAAAGCACTGACTTACTGAACACAATCAGATTGCTACCTTCTATGAATTTTGAACAGGATGTGTTGCTTGGTCCACCAGTTGGTAGATGTTTGGCCTGCATACCTGGCATTGCACTGGAACTGAAATTCATATCACAATACTCATTTATGCTGGAGAAAAGGTGCTTTTTGGCATGACAGCAGCATCCTATTAAATGCACTTGTGGACTTACTGCAATGTAACAATGTGAGAGAGATGACTTCACGTGTTCTTCAGATGTTTGAGGTACCTTCTCCTTCCCAGTAATCTGAGCGAGACTGGGCATTATTCAGAGCCAAAGTGGTGGCCATATGCTCTTTTATGGATTTTCATGATGCACAGACAAAGGTGATTTGATCAAGGTGACCATTATTACACAAGATAGCTTCCACGAGAAGTGCTACTTTGATGGAATGACTATTTATCTCTTACCCCTTGCATACATTTGAAAAATTGAATGTTGTTAATGCAATATTTGAATCTGCGGCTGCACCAAAGAGTGTCCTTATACAGCTTGATAATCTCCATCCCTGTGCTTATATTTACCACTGAAATGGAGAAATCAGTGAAGTTCCCTTTTCTTGATGTATCCGTTGAGAAATTTCCTAATGGGTTCTCTACTACTAAGCACTATCAGCACATGTTTCAGTAGTTAATATACATGCTGAGATTTCTGCTACTCCATGCACTGCAAGGTCAGTCTTACTGGCAACCTCACGGATAAGGTCATAGCCATCTGTTCATCGTGTAAGCTTGATGTTGAGTTGGTGTATATGAAAACTATTCTGCTTCACTCCAATCGCAGCAAGCAAAACTCAATCATCCTCGAACAAACCATGCTTGCAAACTTCAGAATGCCATGTCCAACATTAGATGTGATTCTGCTATTGGACAACATTTACTAAATAACGCAGACCAGACTAAGAAATAAACAGGAAACCAGTTTAAGTCTATCAGTTGAGCTCAAAATTTGATGTATTTACACTATAGCTAAAGGCTATATGTATTAACACAAAGGACCCCATTTTATGTAGACAAAAGGAATTTGTATGTATAATACACCTTTCTAATTGAAAAAGGGTTCAGGGAGACTGCGAATCTCTGCTTCATTCCCCTATGGCAACACCCTGACCAATCAGAGTTTACATTGCTGGTCAGCAAATGAAGATTGGCAGTTAACTGTTCTTGTTGTGTCTCAATGCCCAATGATGGCCTAACAAGTCACCATTTGTTTCTGATTCTGTACAAACTGGAATTCCTTCCCCAAGACCGGTATCTTGATTCCTAGTCCTTATGAGGGCAAGACAAAAAAAAAATTGACTTTGTTTCATGTTTGCATTGTTTATGTTTTGCTTTTATTACAGTAATTAATCAATTTAGAAAATATAAACTATGATTTCCCATTTTTACCTCTCTCCACAGGTTCTGAGTCATCAGGAAAATATCCATAATCTGAAGTCATTGAACTGTCTTCTACAGAATTTCCAGGAGTAACAGTCTCAACTGCACCTCCTCCTGAGGATATTTCCAAGGCTTCATTAGGAGGTACCAGAACAAGAGGTCCCTGTACTTCTGAAGCGAGACCTATGAACACATATTTTGCAAATTCAGTTTAACATTTCAAAGATGCAACATCGTTTCTCTCAAACCTTCACGTTGCTGAATTGAAAGGTACCATCAACCACCAGTTTGCACTTGGTATTGCAGACAAACTTACCTTCACATTTTATATTCAATTAAAAATAAAAAAGTAGCTTTACCAATGACACACAGTTTGTAAAGGCAAAATATTCCTTTTTTAAACAGAGTTGTTTTGATAGGTAGGAGCCAGTGCAGAAATAAAGTAACTTTATGTTCATTAGGTTCAAATGCTTACATCACAGAATTGCTCATTAGTCACCAAGAAGGTTAATCTTTCTTTATTGCGCTGAGTGGTAAATAAAAGTTTGTGTTTTCTCCTTTGGGTTAATACATGTACAGAAGCCCCTGAGCTGGCTCATTGTGTTTTTTCTCAAAGGAATTTAATATACCAGAGCAGCTAATCAAAACACATCAGCAATTAAGTTGCTGAATCCCTTGATCAATTGTACACGGAGTTAAATATTTAGAATTACATAGGAGCAGAAGATTCATCCTAAACTCCACAAGAGCCTCCTCTACACTCCCACATTCCGTATCAGTCTATTCCACTTTCCCAGTGCCTGTGGCAATGCATTCCAACATTCTATTTAAATAAATTTTCTCTAATTTCTTTTATTTGATCTGTCAGTGGGTAACTTGAGCCAGATTTCCTGAAAAACAACAATCTGACACAGAGACAGTAGGAACTGCAGATGCTGGAGAATCCGAGACAACAAGGTGCAGGGCTGGATGAACACAGCAGGCCAAGCAGGGTCTAGGCCCGAAACGTCAGCCTCTCTGCTCCTATGATGTTGCTTGGCCTGCTGTGTTCATCCAGCCCTGCACCTTAATCTCACACAGATTTCATTTTTACACAATAAAAGAGCTCTCGATTTCTGACAGGATATTCCAATCAAGGGTCCTTCAGGAATAGAGAACCACCCTTCCATTCTGACAGCTCTCTTGCAGGGTAGAACAGTTGAGGGAAGACAAACCATGCCCCCTGTCTCACTGCGGTCAGTTGCTGTATTCTGAAGTCCAAAGGTTCACCTTCACAGGCAGTCACTTTGACAGATCCCACAAAAGGCTGAGTACATTAGGTAATGGTGTTCTTAGTGTAGGATGCCAGGCTGGTAAAGCGCTAAGGAGTTAGAACACCAGGTGGGTGGGATGACAAGTGGGTATGCATGCCAGAGGGTAGGGTGCCAAATAGGCAAGGTGCCAGGGTGCAAGGTGAAATGAGGACTAGTAATGTGATGTAGTTTCTGTAAGTCAGGTGGTTGGCAGATATCAGGTCTTTTGGGGGTTTGGGGTGGGATGTGGGTGTTGGTATCTGTACTAGGGCTGGAGGGAAGGGAATAGTCCCAGAACTGCAAGGAGGGTGATGGAAGAGGCATCGGGTCTGTCAGTGGGGTGGAGTTGGTAAACTCCAGGAGTGGGGGAGGGGGGAAGAGGGTTCAGGTCTGGAGGCAGTGCAAAGGTATCAGGTTCTGCAGTGGGTGTGCATCGGGTCCCAAGTACAGGAGAGAGCGGGTTCAGGAGTGCAGCAGTGTTCAGGTCCTGGGGTAGTACTAGCGTGGTGGTATGGGTCTGGGTATTCGGCGTCTGCAGGAGGTGTCATTTTGAGAGGGGGACAGGTGGTGTCAGGTAAATTTTGAGTCTATTGAATAGTTACTTGATATTTAATATTCTAATATTTCCTGAGTAACTATTAACTGCAGCAGAAACCTCTGAATTCTCCAACTTAAATGGAGAATTTCAAAGGGCTCCAGGGACAAGGGAATTGCCCAGTGGAATCCTCAATTTCCAGGACAATTTCCTCCATGTATGCTATGATAGGGACTCTTATGGGATCCTAATGCGGCATTCCCATCTATGCTTCAGAAACGATAATCTGGCCTTCAGAAAATCTGGCCCCTTATCGTTATGACTTCATGTTCTGAACTCCACAACCATCCTACTGAATTCCTTCGTTACATTAAAGACCTGGGTCCGGTCTGTCCTAACTCTTTGATTTTATTTCTAGAGAAATAGGTCCCTGCCTTTCAATCATTCCTGATAGTTTCGTCCTGTTAGTGACAACATAAATTTTCCATAGAATTATTGGCCAAAATTCAGTCCACAACCGGAAACATTGCTCACATTCTCATATTTGTCAGGTGGTGTTAAGCAATTCGGAATTCAGTTCCTAAAAGCTCAATTTGCTGATGAACAAACTTACGTCAAGGTGCAGACACTTTTTGGAGTCAGTCTCCATGTCGTCCACAGCCTTGGTCTCTGATAAAAGTCCCTCACTACCAGAATGCTAAGTTCACGGTATGTGAACAGCAAACATGTTAACCACAATAGAACAGATGCCAAACAGTCTTTCCCATCAGAATATTAACCAGTAAAAACTGAAAGAATTGCGGATGCTGTAAATCAGGAACAAAAACAAAGTTGCTGGAAAAGCTCAGCAGGTCTGGCAGCATCAGTGAAGGGAAAACAGAGTTAACGTTTCGGGTCCGGTGACCCTTCCTCAGAACTGAGATGTGTGTGTGTGAGAGAGTGAGAGAGAGAGTATTAACCAGGTCTGACAATGAAGCAGAGATTAGATAAAATGAACTTTCAGAGTAAAATATATTACATGCAACAAGCTGTATTCTTTATATCTTGTCCGTAACAGATTACAATCTGAAGCACTCTCAACATCTTGTATTCGCTTTCTTTAAGACGGGTCATTAGTTTTAGATATATAGAGATATGATTTTTCTGTTAAAAGTATATCTGGTAAGTGGGTATTGTACATTTTCTGGTTCTTGATGGTGAAATTGTGCCACCTGCTGACACTACCATGCAATATCATAGAATAGATAGCATTTTCCTTAAGGACTTCGGGATTGCACAAGTCCGTACTGCCAACAGGATCTTTAGACTGACAGGAACAGCGAATATCAGTGAGGGACTTTTATCAGAGACCAAGGCTGTGGACGACATGGAGACTGACTCCAAAAAGTGTCTGCACCTTGATTCAGAAGTATGCTTGGTTTAGCAATGAAATGGGTGCTGTCTTTTCATGTACAAATGCATTGTGCCATCCTGAGTTCCCCCACCTTGTCCGCACACCTCGTATCCTGTAGCCCCACCACCTCTTCTCTCAACACTAATATCACAAAATGAGCAGAATAAGTCAGATAACATTATAAAATGGATCTTCCCGCAAATGTTTGAACAAAACAAAAGCCATTGGTGAAGCATAATGTGCTTCACGTTTATGAATTGATGATATATTGTTATATGGAAAGACTTAGGAACTATACTGTCCTGCGCATAATCATGCAAGTACAGTACGAAAATGTCACATGACTTACTACTGCACTACAGTCTGCGTACCAAGCTAAGAATCTATCATTTCTGTAACTTGGTGAGATTTATGAAATACATTCAGTGTCAGTTCCAGCTTTTGTGTCTAAACCTGTGACTATTTCTAAACTCTAGGAACTGTAAGATATATCAGAATGTACGTGAGCTAAACCCAAGCATTATAAACAAAATAAACATTGAAATAGTATGAGAAGGGGAAACTGCAGCAGAGTGAAAGAGAAAGTCAGAAATCATGTAAAAGTGAAATGGGTGAATTAGCAGACTGTTGTCGTGGAGACTTTTTAAAAGTGTAGCCAAATGTGCAGGTTAAAATTCAGTGCCTTTCTAAGTCAGTGAGGAAGAAAGGGCCTGGTACGCCTTGACTGGGCAGGAGAGAAAAGGTTAGATTGTTTCAATAGCTGGAGCATAAATGGGGCTGACATCGAAAAGCCCAGACAAAACCCTTAAGAAATTTAGCACATACAAACAGCTAAAGTCAAACCTGGATCCACTGATATGAATTGCAAAGCTTATGGCATGAAATATATAAGCCTGTAGATAAATTATTTACAAGATTGAGAGATCTTGGGGTAGCATGGTGGTTCACTGGTTAGCATTGCTGCCTCACAGCGCCAGGGACCTTGGTTTGATTCCACCGTTGGGCAACTGTGTGGAGTTTGCACATTCTCCCCTAGTCTGTGTGGGTTTGCTCCAGGTGCTCCGGTTTCCTTCCACAGTCCAAAGATGTGCAGGTTAGGTGGATTGGCCATTGCTAAATTGTCCGTAGTGTCCCAGAATTGCAGGCTAGGTGGATTAGTCATGAGAAATGCAGGGTGACAGGCACAGAGTAGGGAATGGGTCTGGGTGGGATGTTTTTTGAGAGTTGGTGTAGACTTGATGGGCCAACTGGCCTGCTTCCACACCGTCGGAACTCTGTGATTCCATGAGATGTAACCAAGAGGTGTAAATTGAAAGAAATGGATGAAAGGCTGATAGCTCAACTCATTTGGCGATCTGCAATGTATGAAATTGCTTGGAAAGGAGAGAACAAGCTCACAATCCTGCAGGCTGAATACACAGCCAAAACACACAAAGCCAGCAGTGGACAATTGAAGATGGTGACTACCCAAAACACCAGTTGGGAAAATTATCAGAGTTGATGCAGTGAAACAACCACAAAGGAACACATACAAGACGGGAAAATGATGTATGAGAGCAGTAGCCAACCAAATGAATTCATAGACAAAAAGAAATATCCAACGTGTGGATCAAACTGCAGAGCTTGTAGAGAGTACAATCGCTGGAAAATACGTGCAGTAACACAGAAAGGCAGGGTGTTATTTAAATGATGATGTTCTGAGAAATATGGACATGCAAAGGGATCTGGGTGGCCTTGTACACCAGTCAATGAAAGTAGCTAGGCAGGTGCAGCAAGCAATATGGAAGACAATTGTTATAGTGGCCTTCATTGAAAGAGAATTTGAGCTCAGAATTATGGATGATTTATTGCCTTTGGTGAGACCACACCAGGGATATTGTGTAAAGTTTTGGTCTCCCTACCCAAGAAAGGACAAAAATACAACAGAGGAAGTGCAGTGGGGGTTCACTAAACTGATACTGAG